TGAGGAACGACCCCTATCTAGTGCCGAGGTTAAGAATAACTAGGAGTATGATTTGAGGTTTTCACATCGGTGAGTATGAAGATTTCTGTTGATTTTGTTGCGCCGTGTAGTATGGTAGATGTTTACCATACTACACGGCGCAACAACCCAGAAGACAAAAATTTTCAATAAGTAGGAGCTATACCAGCTCCCCACCCCAGCGCCTATAAGGGCGTGTAGTGGTACAGCTTTACATTTACTTGTCCGTTTACTTCGTACTTCTCAGAACCAAATATTTCACTGCATAATTTCAGTTTATGTTATGAGAGTTTCTCAATTTTTATTTTTGTGTGATGTTTTTGTCGAGTGCTTGTAATGTAGATCTCGTGCAGTGATTTCAAGATTCTGTTTATACAGTTTTCAGAACAAGGCCACTTTGTCAGTTTCACCCCGTCCTGACCCAACAGCGAAGGACGAATTAAAGCCTCGGGCCGGTTGATTAGTTCATCATTCGAATTTAGGAATAAGGACGTTTTTTTTTCTTCGTGGAGTAATCATCAAGACATACGTTACATATCACAAAATTTGCATATGCCCACATATTTACACGCTCAGACATATATTTTTAATAAACATTCATAGAAATCTTCCATTATTTCTTTAGCAATTTAGGACCAAGATGACATTCTGGTTCCCACTTGTGAAGATACGGTTTCTTTTTACGGCAAGACGTGTAATGGACAACACTGCTTCTTCGATTTCTCCCAAAGAGTTTCGTATGAGTGTGGCTATAACATTAAGTATCACTGCCATTCTTTTATATACAGACACAGAATAGGATTTAGCCCCTTGAAACGACTGCGCTACGAAATATTTTATTTTATTAGATTAAACGCCCATAATGCCGGAAATATTATCTCACAGTTAATAAAGTCGGCTTTGTGTAACTTTTACCTCTTCTTCGTTTCTCCAGTTGTAACAACGGGACTCGTCGATCGAAACCCTCTGATTCTGCTCCGGATTTGCAGCGTGGTAGTGCTCTCTATTCTGGCTTCTTAGCCAAGATATTGGGTGTAGACACTCCATTGTTTCGTTGTAATACACAATTTTACTTTCTGACTTAAATATCGAAGTAATATTGATAAGACATCTCCCTTTATCAGACTGTACATAATAAGAATTTGTCGGAGAAATGTTTAAGGCCAACTGTACGACCTTTAATAGGCCATAAGATTCGTTTAAATGCATTAATAGGCCCAATTAACTTTTGGGGTAATCTAGATATATTATTCTTTGTGACAAGCTTTCTCGGTGTTTACAAATATCCGTGCATGGATTGTTGGGATTGCTTTTCATAATCATAAATGTTTACTTCTTTTTCGTTAAACATGAGTACACACTATGTCAGTGTTTCGCGAATTTTTATAAGATTGTATGGTTAGAAGAAAGGTAACTTATTATCGTTCGTAATTAAAATTCGTAACACACACTGCTTTATTATCTATAGTTTTATCCACCATTTGTAGCATTTTCTTTTCAAATACCTGCATTCTTAGAGGGCAAGAATTTATATGTAGGTGCATATTTATGGCGGCGTGTAGTTTCGTACTCCTTTTTCGTGAGGAGGTGTGCCGTAATGTGTCTGGCAAATTAGGACGTGCGTCTTGTGAAGAAAGTTTGCAGAACACTGCTCTATATGCTGGAAATAATATTTGTAGATCTTAATTGAATGAATTGCATACTAACTGCATGAAGTAAATATCCTCCTTTACAAAGTAACGATCTCTCATTTAGCCAAGAAATTATCCGGCTTTTATAGAAACCGAACCTTCATTTCCGTGTCCACAAGAGCCCACAATAGATAACACGTGTCCTTACATCTGTATCTAAGTGTCAAAATTGGTGTCTTCTTTTCAAATGTTAACGAATTTCTGATCTTAACCCATGCATGCCACATATTTCGTCCATCTTATATTATATGACTGATAGTCATAATAATGATACGTATGTGCTAAATATCAGTGATCATCACTCTCATGATGGAGGCTGTATGCAGCTCTGAAACATCGACTACACGGCGCAACATCCCAGGAAACAGTCACAATTCTTTATTTGGTAATATCCCGAGTTGCTCATTTGTTTCGACCTTATTCAAAATACAGTCCTGAGAACTTTGCTATGAAGTTCTTGTAGTTTGTTACAATTGACGTTTCATTTTCATTGTAACAGATCTCATTTCACACCCACACAAAATTATAGCCACAATTGTTGGCTTTTTTAAAATTGGACGGAATTATAACATTTTACAGACTGAATAATATTTCCATAATTTATTTATTCTTAATAATAACGAGCAGGAAAGGGGATATAGCAGTGAAGTTATGACGAATCCAGCAAGAAAAGTTTTCTAGCGTAGTGAATCATCTGGAAACGTGTTTACCAGGCACAGACTCTGAATGTCAAGTCAGACTTGATTGAAACTCCTTCGTGCAGCTGCAACGAAATTGTAGTCAGAAATACGCGGTTCAGATTGTCTTAACAAGCTTCAACATTTGGGTACCGTATGTATGTTCTGTATCGGAGAGTGAACGGAAGATGAGAAACAAGTGTCAAGGATCCGATTAAGTATTAGGCTGTTTAATAACACTGTGCCATCTGCAGAGGTTGTGTTGCCTATCGTCGAATGACGTGGGATGATCATGAATGTCGAGTAGTTCAGAATTTGAAAGGAGACCGGTCGTGACCAATTACAGCTATTATCCCAGCAGTCGTTTGTATGAAAGAGGAGAATCATGATAAAAATGTTGGGATAGTCAGTAGTTAAACTGATATTCAAACTCTTTGCCATTGAAGTAGCCAGCAGTCCACCAGAAACTCAAAGCTGGTGGCTGCCGAACACAGTTCTAGAAAGCGAACGCTGAACTAACCTGATCAACAACTTGCCAAGGAGAATATTTGGTCCTAATATAGATGACGCATTACCGGAAAGGCAAAAATTATAAAACGAGAGCTACGTAATATGTCCTTTTCACCCAATATTTTAAGGCGATCGTATCAATAAGGATAAGATTTGCAGATTTTAGTTAGAAATCTTGGAAAACATAGACTAGAGGGCCGTACGCTGATTGATAAGCGTCATAAAACTTTTCACCTTTCCTGAATGGTACGCTGATTGATAAGCGTCATAAAACCTTTCCTGAATACCAAGTGCATTTCAATCCAAAATCGTTCTTAGTTTACAATCGCTGTGAAGTTGGACTCACACGTACAATTTGAGTCTGGCAGATTATTGCTACATCTTGGACCACGTGGTCGTAACAACTGTCACTATCGTTTGCTTTTTTCTTATCCTTCGCTGCAACTGTTTGCTACATCTATTATTCCATCGCCCTCCACCAACATGCGGGTTTTAACTTTTTTTTTTCCCTTCACAGAAGTGATCTGGGCGTCACAGATTGCCACATCTTACAAAGCTGATAAACATGAATGAACCGTATTATACTACAACGCTACTTTTTTTAATCCTTCGTGTCAAGAGGTTATTCATACTTAGGTTACATTTCATTTATGTTCTATATTTTCTTACTTGATAATTTCACACATAAAAATTGTTAATTTGATCCACTGCGATTAATGCATTAATGAAGGTTTCCCCTGTGTTTCCCAAAAATTTTGTCAACCGTTCAAAAATTGTTATCAATACTCTTACGATCAGTAATTTTGGAATATCTAGAGTGGAGAGGAGCACTTTACAGTGTTCATGGCTAAACGTTGCTTCTCCCTGCGTTGAATTTGAAAAGTGTTGCAGTATGAAGGAAGAGAATCTTAATAGGAATTTTGTTGTCTTGTGCACTAAAAATAACGACGTGTTCTTAATTTAAAATACGGTAGGATCATTATTCAAAATGTTGAACTCCCATAGTTACTGCAGTTTTCATCTTCGTTAAATTTCACACATTTTTTTCATTTACAATAGCACGAAAGTGACATTAGGTAAGTTTGATGAAACTAATATTTTATTATATTATAGGAACTCTGTGTTGAACAGTTCCCATTTTATGAGGTGTATTTTGTATACACGACGTTTTGGGAACTTCCTCTGTTCCGTCTTCGGGTGACTGACTGGTGGTCACGATGCTGGCATACTCTTCTGTTAATAATAATGGTCAGAATCGAACCTGGTATCTTCGAAATGCTAGAATATAAAGTTAACCACTCATGTTTCATGACGGTGTGTCTCCCAGTTTCATGACAGTTACCTGAAGAAGGAGTAGAACCAACTCCCGAAACGTCGTGTATATTAAATATAACTTAATAGACATGTCCAATAAAGTGTTTCTGTGATGTACCATAGTCACAAGCATTTAAAGAATCAAATGTGTTATTATCATTCTTTCACACATGTGCGTCTGATAATATTATGACAAGTTACAAATAATGTCTTTTGTAGTAGAAGGATTGCACAGACTTTCACACAATTCGGAATCGTATGTTGAATACAACAGTTGAAGATTGTTGTGTTCTGGGTTATAGCGCCGTCTAGTCTGGTAGACATCTACCGACGTTTTAGAGAAAATTGCGATGATGGAGGCAGCAAGTTCCTCTGAAACGCCGCCAACTTCTACCAGACAACACGGCGCTACAGCCCAGAAAACAGCCATCTTTATACTCGCCACCGTGAGAACCTCAAATCCTACTTTAGAAGCGTTTTATGCCTTTTTTTATAAACTTACTTTTCGATACCGTCAGAGATAGAAGTGTCTAGTATGTGCAGATAATGATGAATTTGGGAGATTGTGCAAAGAAACAATTTTCATCTGTTTTAGCGCACTATCCCTGAAGGCCTAGGTTCGAATCTGAGAACTCCAGAATACAAATCTGTACTACTGACCAAGCAATCGCGGCGACGTTCAGGATGTGTAAATTATAAATATTTTCAGTTACAGTTTACCATAAAATGAGTGTATTTCCAGGTCATTATTAGTTAAAGTTTCAGAGGCGTCGTAGGCCTTGTTCAGTACCTGCTGCTTCCGGATCCTGTGTCGATGTCCTGATAATCAGCAGGAGGACGAGGACGGGCCATGCCGTCATCTCGTAAGTCCTGAGCTGCTGCATTGTTCACACAGCTGCATATGTTACTATGGTAACCACTATCACCACCACTCAGGAATGCAAGCGTACCACTGCGAGTAACATGGGTCTTCCTTCCATCTTGCTAAGTCACAGCATCCTCTTCAGGCATAAGACTGCCGCTGTACAAAGGACAAACACTATCTTCAGCAGAGTCATACACACATGGCCACCATGACGCATGCGTGATGGAATCTGTGTGTAGCCAAACATCTTGGCGGTCTCCATTTCGTAATAAAATAATGGGTCTCTAACTTCAGGTCTCATTTCCATTAAACGTATGTTATTTATCTGGTTTTGTGTGTTGTTTAGCGACGTTATTAGTAGCTCAGCCTATATAGCGTCGAATGGCATTATTAATGAATTCGAAATAATGTTAATGGAAGCGGTCATGGCCCTAAATGCCTTGGATTAAGGCACTTCCCAGCATTTGCCTGGAGGAACTGAAAAGAAAACACTAAAAACCTCTGCCAGGATAGTCGGGCTCCTATCTGATATTTGAATCCTTGACCTCCCAAATACGAAGCAGTATTGATATCTGGGGTAGTTTAGCCAACTCATTAGTGGTCATTGGAATCACCTATGTAGGTCCACGTAACATGCACTAATGTGGCCTAAGTAACCTGGTGGTTATTAAGTCTGCAATATTGGTTCTGGTAAATATGTTGAAAAGTGTTTTATTCATACAATTATCTATAATATAAAATCTTTCTGTGTGCCAGGTTTCCTTCTATACTTAACTAGGAGACCATATAAAGTATAATGAACCTGTGTTTCGTCCATTGGCAGCCGTATACTGTTTAATGCATAAATCGATATAGTTGGTAGGCCTGTATACAAGCCATGTGGAAACACGGCGGTTAATAATACAGACCAAGTGTTTGCTACCTGCAGGCCAGCATACGCTTATCTTGTAATATTTTTCTCTGGTGAAATATTTACCCGTAATTCGAAAAGACATAATTTAATGTAGCTATTATATGGCAATATCTGTCGTTGGAAACATCTTAACGAAGAACGCCAAATCAAGTAGGAAGTACTAAGAAGCTCCTGGATGTTGAGTATTTGGAAGGATGCATGTGATTCGTGATTTTGCTGGAAAGTGGTTGTGTTGTTTTCCGAACCATTTATTAGATCTTGTCTGTCCTCAGTCTAAAGTCTAAAGGAAATAAAAACTGACACAGAGCAGAAAACAAGATTGACAATTATTTATCTCATTATGGTTATAATTAGAATATGAGGTGAAAATTTCATGGCATACCTAGATGGCCTCCGCGACTTAAATTTAAAAAAAAAACATTTCAGACCTGTATCTGCTCCCGTCTTCAGGTAAACAGAGGAAAAGGACAAAAACCCAATCTGTTGGGCTCCCTGGTTCAGGTAGTCTCCAGGTCTGAGGCGCAAGCAGAATGCCTGAACTGCTTTCACAAGTCGTAAATAATACGTCTCTGTGTTGGATCAAGTGGTCTGTAACCGGTTCCAGTAACATTTCAAGTACTGTAATCCTTTACCGGAAACAGCGTAATGTGATGAGAGTTTTTAGAATGTATCGATTGTTGGGCGAACCTACTAATTTCATATAATCCTAGCGTCGAAGAGTAGCGTGATTGCAAATTATATATAATTAAATATTTTGAATTAATTTGAGAAATAAAGTGTCGTCTAAGCATGTGCCTTGCAGGATAAAGGGAAAGCATAAGAAATCTCGGTAGGGATAGGTCTTAGAGTCCAAATCAAACACAGGTGTCTCGAAAACGGAGCATGATAGGGACACACACGAGTAAAATTTAATGGACTTTGCGAGCGCTACTATCTTACATGCTTAAGTTTCGGAAACAAAGTTTGATTCCTAACGCCCTTGAAACCCGTGTCTCGGTGTCCAAATCGATTAGTGAAGTAGCCGGTTTGAAACTTGAACGGGTCTTGATTATGATTTTTTCCATCTCTGAAGATGATTGTCAATAGGAGTACCGTTAAAGCAGGCCACAACCGACTCCTTCTCAATCTGACATTCTCATCATTCTTGGCTATCTTCTCCAGTCGTTCGATGGTATGTAAGTTCTACTGCTGAAATACCCAGTTATTAATTAAATTGTATTTAATAGTTATTTGGCACATGGGACATTTGTTATTTCTGCGTACGGCTTAAGAACTATGATATGCGGGCAATGGTGTGTGAACAATTTAAATGCATAATGAATGCTATTCACTGAAAAAAATACGTTCATCCAAATATATACGAACTTTGTGATTCAATTAGAAAAATTAGTTCTGTAAATGCTCGTTATTATTCAGTTATAAAACTTATTTTGTATTTCTTTCCAAAACGCTGGTGATCATAATACATAACTAACTAACTGGTTTAGGAAACCCAAAGGTTCATCACCAAATTAACCAAAGTCCGCACCGATCACTGTCTTAGGGCAAAAACATCCAATCACATTTCACTATCCACAGATCCTGCTTGATATCCTCCCATCTACATCTAGGTCTCCCCAGCGGTCTCTTCCCTTCAGGCTTCCCGGCCAATACTCGGTGCCCCGCCCATCTCATTGTTCTTGACTTAATCACCCTGACAGTATTGGGGAAGGAGGAGGCGATCATAATATACAAAATAATAATTTTGCCTGTTGTTTTGTATGGGTATGAAACTTGGTCTCACTTGAGCGCAAACGTTAAAGTGATTCAGAAAACAGTGCCGAGACGAATATTTGGATCTAGAACAGAGGCTGAATGAAGGGACTTGTAATTTGTACTCTTCATCAGATAATAATTAGATAAACAAATTAAGTACGAAAGAAAAAGGAATTTGTGAGACTTAGTGGGCGTAGATAAGAGAATAATGTTGAAAGAGAACTCGATGAAGAGGGGTGTGTGAGTGTCTGTCATGAGCACAATTGGGTGGACTTTCGTGAACACGGCAATGAAATATCGAGTCCCATAAAAGGCGGATGTTCTTTACCAGTTAAGCGACTGTCAGCTTTTCAATGGGATAATATTACGTTGAATCAATTTCTACTATATTTTAAATTCCGAAGACCACTTTTGAAGTTTTCTTGCTGTCTACTTGTGGAGCGTTGGTATTCCAGACTCTGTAGCACGACGTAAGGTATTTCATCTCACATAGTAGAACCAACATGAGAAGATTCATCGCGCCTCATTTAGAGATGATGATAAAAAGTAGCTACAAATACGGAGGGTTTCCTGTTTAAAATCGCACATGGTTCCCTGTTCTTTCAAGAGCATCTTGTTTTATTTATATCAACATCCGACTGCTCTATATCGTTCTACCACCGTCGGCTATTAACAACGTCCTCTGAATTCAATTTTTGTGTTTTTACTACTTTAGAGCATCTGTTGATGGAAATATCCTCCATGTGCACCCCGACCCTCTGCGGCCCTTTGCACCTCACTTTAATCTGTTTTTATCTTGTTCATAGCAAACTGCAAACCACGGGAATTTTTAACCTGCTGCTTTTATTGTCTTCTGATAAAAATATGTTTAACGCAAGTCTATGGGAGCAGTGTTGGGTTGTTGCGCTGTGTAGTCTGGTCGATG